GTGGGAAAGGAGGCTCTGGAGGGAAGGAAGGGAGGGGGTCGGGAGGCCGCCCCGCACTTACTCCAGGAGCTCGAAGTTGGACTTCTTGTCAAGGGCGTTGTGGGGCATGTCCTTGAAGAACCGCCTGGAGAGAAAGGAGTCACGGGGAGGAGAGTCGGTGGCGGGAGAAGGAGGCCACCAGGGCAGGGCACTCATGTCCAGGCGTTGGCCTTGGGGCCCCTTCCCCTGCCAGAGGTGGGATTCATGGGGACAGAGCAAGGTGGCAGGGGGGTAAAATTGGATCTTCAGAAAACAGCGAGGACAAGGAAATCCCACAGACTTTGTTCCCAGAAAGGCACCAGCCTCGTGCTCTGGGAGACCCAGCTCCTGGGCTGTGGGCTCTGAGGCTGAGGAAGAAATGGCGGCTCTCTCCACAGTGCCCGAGGACAGCCAAGCCCAGGAGGCCAACTCTCAGGCCGTCAGCCCGGGGACGGGGACATCATCTGCACCTTCAGGTCCTGGGTTCCTGGGCACTTTCTTTTTTGCCTATTTTCTGTCTCTGAAATGATCCTCCCACCAGAGGTGGCATCTATTAATATATGACACACCTTCTTCAAGTCCCATTTCTCCTAAAAATATATGCATTCATGAAAACTTGTATGTACTGTCAGATGCCACATAATGACCTTTTGGTCAACAATGGACCACAGATATCATGGCGGTCTCATAAGATTACATCGCCTAGAGTAATAGCTGCCTTAGTTTGTGTAAATGGACTCTATTGTGCTGACGTGACAATGAAATTACCTAATGATGCATTTCTCAGAATGTATCTCCATTAGTAACTGATGCATGACTGTGGTATTTATTTGTAGCAATGGTGGTTTCAGCTGAGACCAAGTAGCCAATGTCCTTGCATATGCCAGCCTCCCTTCCCTGTCAGGATTGCTGTGTCTAGTCATTTCACTGACTATTGCAGACACTGTCCAATCTTACATTAAAGTAATTGATGCCTGCAATCCCAGTGATTTGGGAGTCTGAGTCAGGAGAGCCTCAAGTTAGAGGCCAGCCTCAGCAACTAAGTGAGATCCAAAATTAAAAATAAAAAGGGCTGAGGATGTAGCTCAGTGATAAAGCACCCTTAGGTTAAGTCCCCAGTACCAAGAAGAAAAAAATAATAACTCAGTAATCCTTTAAGCCGGGTGTCCTATAGGCATCTGGGACCAGTTTTGTGCTACTAATACTATAAGCAGAGAGAAGCAAGTAACTTATGACCCCAAAGCAAGGAGCTCAGACCGCTCACCCTGTTCAGAAAATAGGAAGGTTGGATCCTCACCTCAAACTGTTATCTAGAATATTTATTTTCTAAATATAGATAAATATAAATATAGATTAAAGATAAATATAAGCAATAAAACCATTATAAAGCTAGAAAAAGAAATCTAGGAAAATATTTTCATATCACAGGGTCAAGAACATCGAAAGCAAGAAATTATAGAAGAAACCTCCAATAGGAGCATAAAAAATAAAATATTATGTCCTGAACAATTTTTAATAAATGGTGTCTTTGAATATATTGTCAAGCAACATAAGTAGCTGTCACTCACAGGAAAATAAGCATGCTGGGAGACCCGGGGATGGAGCTACCCAGTGAATGGATGCCACTGAACTCCAGGCACAGTAAGACAGGGGGTCTTCCTACCTGGGGAAAACCAAGTCTGTTTAAGATGCCACAGGGGAATAAGTCATTTGGTTCCTCAAACTTATTTCTAGCATATAGGCCATGAGTTTCACATTTTAACTTAGAGCAGGAGATTTAGTTTAAATAATATAGTTGGCATTTGTAAGCACCTCCACTAGATCAATAAAACATCAGTTAGGCTGCACTCCAACTATAGGATATTCTGCAAAAGGCAAAACAAAGTGACAATATAAAGCCCAGCAGTTTCGGGGAGTAAGTGGGAGGAAGGGATGAAGAGGGGGGACATGCAGCATTTTTGGGGCAGTGAAACTAGCCCGTATGACATCATAGTGGTGGATGCAAGCATTTGCCCAAACCCCGAGAATGTGCACCTCCAGGAGAGAACCTTCATGTGCACTGTGGCGTTTGGGTGATAATGACGCATCAATAGGAGCAATTGCTCCACACTCGCAGAGTGGTGATGATGGAGTGCTGTGCGGGTATGGGATAGGAGGCACAGGAGAACTCTGTGCCATCTGCTCAGTTTTGCTGCAAATCTAAAATTTCTCTGATCAAAAGTCTATTGGAGACAAATAAGTAAATAAAATAAGGGTTGAGAGAAAAATGTCAGCCAAGTAAACACACAGTTACAGAACACTTTAGTCCCTGTCATGGTTGTAAGTACTTGAAATATAGTAACTCACTAATTCCTCCTAACAACCCCGTGAGGTTGTTCCATCATTCCCATTTTACAGATGAAGGAACCGAGGCACAGGGAGATCAGATGACTTGCCCAGGATAACAGAGTCAATGCAAGCCCCAGGATGCATGCTCAGAAAGCCCAGCTTCTGACCTGTGCTGTACATCATTACACCCAATTATCTGGATAGGATCTGATCTGAGTCCACAGAGGATTCATGTCCCTACGTACTATTTTCCTGGTGGTGTTGTTATCCATAGGCAAGGTGTATAATCTGTGAGGCTAACAGGACAAGGGACTGTTACCCATGATTTTCAAGCAAGAGTCACATCCCTGGAAGAGTCGACTTCATGGTATGATTTTCAGAACCATATCTGACTCTGTTAGTGACAATAGTCAAAACTTCACTTTAAAATAGCCCAACTTCACATACAACTGCATTCTATCTACCCTTCCTATTTAAAAATGATCAGTCCTGAAAAATCTTCTATCAGTTTTACAAAGTAGGTGTTTCCCACGCCCTTTCCCCTCAGCACACTCCCTGACCTCAGGGGTCACCGGTAAGTATAGGAACCTCTATCTGATGCTGCGGAGACTCAGGAGACATAAGGCAGCATGTCCTTTTCAGGAAACAGTCCTGGGAGCAGTCCGGGGCTGATCAGAGAACAGCCCCTCTAAACTGCCCATTCCTGACCACTCTCTCTCTCAGAGCCTGGTCCTCCAGCCTCTTAGCACGGCCCCTGGCACTGAAACAACAACCAAAAACAGTTCGGGGATGACTGGAGGGTGTAAAAATGTGAAGTGGAATGCAAATGGATCCCCTCTGGGCTGCTTTCACTAAGTGATGACTGACAGGTGATTCACTGGAGTCTCCAAGTGATACCACAGCCCTAAGTGTGAGATCCACCAACAAAAAGGAAAAGATAAGCTCTTTAGAACTGTCTAACTCAGAGGGGAAGACTATAGGATGCCATGCAGGGTATAGGACTGCAGGGGTCCTGGAAGGCAGGCCAGGGCACATGGTGTCTGTTGTCCCAAAGATATCATTAGCCTGCCATTGTCATGGCCTCTTAGATGCCAGCCATCTTTTCTCTCCAAGTTCACCTCACCTCCATTCTCTAGTCCTGTGCCTTTCTTCCTCCATCCCTGGGTGGGCTAGAATGCATGTCCCACTGGGTGTCATTATTTGCCAACCAAGAGGTATTCTTTCCTTCTAGGAGCAGTTCAAATCCCCTCTCCCTGCTGCCTGCAGGCAAGGTTAATGGCTTCACTTGGAAGTGGTACATGTTCGTTCTGCCTTGTATTGTGATTAATTGTGTACACATCTGTCACCTCCCAAACACTGTGAGCTTGAGGACATCGCCGAATGCTGTGCTAATTCCACACAGAGTGCCTCCTGGAGCTGGGGTGCTATAGTGGGCAGCACAGATGGGCACCCCTACATTCCAACAGCCCCAGGGCCTGGCCTGGTGCTCTGAAGCATTTGCAGAAACACTTGCAAAGGACAGAGGGAGAAGCAGGCAGCCCAGAGGCAAGGGCAGGGCAGGGGGTGGGGACTGAGCAGAGGGAGCTGGTTTTTCTGTTCCATTTTTTCCAAGGACCAGATGGCGAGCACCTCAGAGGCCCACTCTGCTGGCTTCCTCTCCTCCTCTTCCCAGCTCTCACGTGCCCACTCCCACTTTCACCTCGAAAGTCCAGGACCCAACACGACACTCTCCCAGGAGAGACCTTGAGGCCACTTACCTGAGCTCCAGACAGCCCAGCTGCAGGGCCATGCCCTCGCTGACCTTGCTGGCGTAGCGCTGCATGTAGTCATTCCGGAGCTGGCAAGAGAAAGATCACAGGTCAGACCCACACCCTCACCGTCCCCCTTCCCTGAGCAGAGACCCAGGAGGTGACACACTCCTGCCCCTGAGCTGTCTCATGCCCACCCAACCATAGACAAGCACTGAGCAGGGATGGGGAGCAGGATGGGAGCTTCCTCTTGGCTCTGCCTCTGCCCCCTGGGTCCCCGAGCCCCTTCACTGGGGAACTTTCATACACCTTCTCTCCCTGCTCCAGAGTCTTCACCCCACCCCAATTTGGAGAGAACTCCGCCACCCTAGATTTGGGGAGGAGTCATCAATTTTTCCAAAGCCCTGTTGATAGGTAGGAATAGATGCCATCCATGGTCCAAGCAATGTCTGGATTAGTGTCCAGGAAACCAGAGGGGAATGCAGCTGAGACCAGCTGGAAAATAATGGCAGTAGCTCACTCTTCCTTTTTGCACTTCCTCTGCACAGGTGCTGGGCACTTATTTAATGCTATGGCATGTCAAAGAGGCTTGGCAATTCATGTTCAAGAGAGCTTGTTCTCACATCTTGAGAAGTTCTGTGAACTGGTGGATATCCCATTGGTAGCTTGAATCAGGTCTTGGCGGGAGCATTTACACCATGGGAATTGGCAGGTGCTCTAAACGAGGGATCTCGTCTTCCCAGAGACAGCT